GCAACACGTTTTTAAAAGGAAATAACTGTTTTAGTATTTGACATTCATAAAGCTCGACTAGCACCTTCTAAAATGCAAACTAAGGTAATTACTTGTTACTTGGGAACGTTCTTAAAGGGTTATTTGGTTATTCTCGAGTGGCGCCGTCATCGTCATTCCTGGATGCCCTGCGCATGGCAAGCGGCCCTTTCACACAGTCTGTTTGTTAGAAGCATACCAGCCTATTAGTATTTAGTACCATTTGCGACTACGCATTCACTGCATTCTTCTGCGTTGGCTCTCAAACGTAGTTTTGAAGCGTTCAATTTCGGAAAGAAACAAAAGATTCGCGATATTAATTTGTACTCTAATCTTTACTTTCTTTTGCACTTGTTTTATTTATTATTTAAATTGTATTATTTTAATACTATACGTAAGCGCACTTCTTTCAATTACATAGGACAGATCTAGAGTTTACAGTTACAGATAGGGGGTTTTGTGAACAACTTAAGAATATTCTTCAGTACTGCCAACAGTGCCAACCCTTTTCTAATTTCATGGATAATGGCACGTTATGTCTTTAACACTTCAGGTGACCTAAGAGACCTAGTGGGTCACGCTAATATTTATTTGTGTCAATTTTAAATTTTCGTCTGAACACGCACTAAGATTTAGTATTCCTGACGTCATCATCCCTCATTATTTCGGTCGTGTATAAATCATTTGTTTATAATTCAAATTTATTTTAGCGCTTCTTATTGATGTTCTAGTTCATGAGACGTTTCGAATGCGTGAAAAAAAGTGAAAATCGTAACGGGATACCGTCGTGGATTCGCCGTTTGCAGCATTCGGTCCACAGAAGCCGTGAACCGTTTGTCAATGTTTGAATAGCTGAATCACTTTTCCTGTCCATCTATATTTATGTAGACGTACACCAGAAGCAGTACTGCTATTATTACAGCTACAAATCAGACTGAAGAATCTGTCTTCGTCTCCAGTCAATATTTTAGGGCAAAGCTCCATACAGCTTTAAAAAATGTCTCGTGAAGCGAGATGAGTTTTACTAAAAGTGTGACTAAGTCACAGAGGAATATTGATGATCCATCTTGGTAATTATTTTTACGAACGACTAGTCCTTGAGTATTTGGAAGTACATTATTTAAAAATATACTACATAAATATTCATGTCCCAAAAGTTCCGAAATATGTCTCGGGTAAATGACTAATCGGCTACAAACTTATAATTGGAAGTTTCGCGAGGCCCTCAGCGGGGAACGTGACACCTAAATTAGATTTGGTTGATTTTTAGCATTTTTTTCTTCGTGCCCCAACGATATCATGCTAATTCTATCCACGCGAGCTTGCCAAGCCGTTTTTGTCTATTACTTTCTAAGAACTGAAGTTCAGCGCACTCACCTTGGTAGCGCCCTCCAAACAGAAATTAGATTTTTCAACTCCGGCAAATTGTCTGGTGCGTTCTCCCCCACTCTCCCATTACCCGCCACCGTTATTACGTTTCGCGTGCAACGGGGTTATACTTAGCGGGCAGATTATACTCGTCAAAACGTTTCGGCGATAAACAATACTCAGCATGCTTTTGTTTTAATTCAAGTCTGAGTGGTATTTGTACACTATTGTTATAGAGTCCTACAGGGTTACCTGATCAATCACATCGTCAGCTTATACTTATTAACTCAGCGTCTGGTTATGTTAACATATGGCTGAAGTATTCAGCTTGGCCAAATATCAGTTTAGCCTGGCCAAATAGTGTGTGTGAGAGAGTTTAATTTTTCTTAGATAAGCACTTTTTACCTTAGTAGCATATAGCTTATTTATATCTGTCATCCGTGATAGATAACAGCTACGCACCATCACTGATAGTGTAATTTGTTAATCTCAATATGCGTGTGTTTATACATGTACTTATACAGGGTGTCCCAAAAATAGTGTCAAGCCAATCACTAGGGATACCCTAATCACCACGACTTTTGATAGGTTTCGAGTTATGGTTTTTTTACAACATTCAGGATTTTTTATATTTTTAGTGTTATGGATGTAAATACTTCTGATTTAGCTAGGCCTAGTATTCATCTAATAATAATAAAAAAATCAGGCATGTACCTAAACTATTCGGGTCACTAACCAAAAAAGTACCTAAGCATAGAAATTTCAAACAATCATAACTCGAAAACTATAAAAAATCGCGGAACCTACATGGGGGTGATTCGGGTAGCTCTAGTGATGCTCTACCTCTGAGCTTCGGCTTGACACTACTTTTTGGGACACCCAGTATTTAAACGTCCATTGTTGAAACTTGCTCGGTTTTATTACTTGGCCGCGAGTTGCCGGCCGTTGGAAACCACACTTCATGTCATTGCTACGTTTTATTACTACGTTTACTATTGTATATGAAATATTACACTAGATATACAGCGGTTGTAACGTGATTTCGTACAGTCGTATTTTGGTGGCGTTAAACTGGTTTTTAGATCTGGATCTAGCATTTTAAAAGTATTATTAGGCTCTAAATAGTCATTAAAAAGTTTTTCGTTTATGAGCTTTTCCAAAAAGGTTTTAGCCACTAAATTCGTCTTTTAATAACACTGTTTAGCATTCGCGAGCCAGTTTGATAGCACCATAATGGCGGGTTACCGGATCGTTTGTCGTACTGCGAGCGGGAAAGTACACGCCGCAGACTGCAATGCAGCAACGCTGCAGATTGGGATTTTGGGCGCTTTCCCTGCGCCTGGAGTTATGTCACTGGAATTACTGTTGTCTCCATTACCTGATTCTGTTTTGTTTTTGTAGTTGAAAGATATGCAAACGACTTGACTTTGAGATAAAGATTGTGGGGATTATGTTAGTGTGTAGGGGCAAGTTTGCTACAAAAATAGTCTGATTTGCTGTCAACTGTGCATAAGTCTGATACATGAAAGAATTACTTGAGAATATTACATATCGGTGTCTTTTTCTAGCACTTTTAGCTTTCATTTATTGAATTTGTTCAGGTCCTTTTTTAAATATTGCACATAATTATGTGCTTTGTTTCACCGCGGGCCTTATATTTTAATAATATCCTTGTCACTCATACAAGATTAATCTTAGGAATGATACTGCATCAAATAGTGCCGCTACACAGTTATTAGCGAATTTCTTATAATCACTCTGGTAGTTCACCGAACCATAATCAGCTTTTATAAATTGCTGACAATAGCTAATCTTTAATTAAAATCATGATGTACCCAATACGCATGCACGCTCCGAACAAAAAGCAAGGTGAACGACCCCCGAACTCCTTGATATCAGATACGCTTTACTTCGCATGTAGACGGCATTACTTCGTTTACATCTAGACATAAATTAAAACATTCGAATTAACGTGTCAATGAATCCATTTGACTTTAGAAACTTCAAAGACAAATTATATGTTATCTACCTTCATTAACACTGCTAATTAGGACGGCTATCTTGTCACACACGAAGGAAAAACTGTTAACAACGCGCTGTGTAATGCGTATGTTAGTTCAAAGAGCTTTGATTGCGTCATCGCCAGTTTAGAAAGACCTCTATCCGTTATTAAACTTGAAGGAGACAGATCTCTTTTTCAATTTGTCTGAAAGTACCTTCTATCCGTCACGGTTAGACTCTGTTAATTCTATGGTACGTTTTATTTTCACTGTTACTAAATACACAGCTTGACTACCGGGTTTCATCGTATAAACATTGAATTTAATAAGCCCTTTCGACGATTGTCTAGAAAGATTTTAATAATCATCTCGTTGATAACACTGATAACTGATAGTGTTAGTATCATATCTGGCTGCACACACAGAAAGTTTCAATTTTTAAACATGCGTTCGATGTGATAATGGAAACTTTTTTCGGTTTAATAACCGATACTGGCCTGCATCGACTGATTACATTAAGAAAATAATTCCACGATTTTGTGCAAACATTAAAAATACACTATGGCTACTTCGATAAGTATGACTGATGTCCGTAAATACAATAATGTATTATCGCGCTCGTTCTGGTTGCTAGGAGCTGTGGTAATCGGAATGTGTGAAATGTTACATTATTCGATAGGCATAGAAGTAATCATACCATAAAGAATGAAATAGAAAATAGAAACAGATTCGGGGACAAACAAAATGATGGATACCGAATCCAAAATGGGTCCCACAAGGATTCGATAATAATGCGGTGAGCCCGCAAGGAGATTCTATTACGGATGCCATGTTTGATGTCATAAAGAGTGTTATACAGATTACGGTCAAGGAAATGCATCAGAGGGTCGCAAAAATATCCCGCAAAAAAGAGAAAACAAGGTTATCTCTAGGCCCCTCATTAATATGAGCAACGGCAGATGTCCTCTTTGTAATTTATTATTCTCATGTATACTCCCAATTACGGTGATGAAAGCAGCAATTTTCGTGTAAAGCCTTTTTAAAGGCGAAGTTATACAAAATTATTTTGTGATTATCACACTCATTTGCATTTATGATGGCTGAAAGCTTAACTCATTGTTTTAAAGGGCACTTGATTCGATGCGGTATAGCTATATTTATATCTTATTAAACATTTCTATGTCAAATATATCGTTTGTTATTGTTATTAAAAAGTTTTTCAGAAACCAAATTATTAAAAGACTAGCTTTCCGGCCGCGGCTTCGCCCACGTGAACTTTTGTCTGTCACAGAAAAACTTTATCGCGCGATTCCCTGTTTCAAAAACCGGGATAAAAACTATTCTATATCCTTTCCCGGGACCCAAATTTTTCTCTCTATGCCAAATTTCATCAAAATTGGTTCAGTGGTTTAGACGTGAAAGCAAGACAGACAGAGTTACTTTCGCACTTGTAATATTATTAGTATATATTATTCAGACACTTTTTTTTGCAACAATTTTGAGCAGGCAACGTTCTTTATCGCATACTTTGTATAATATTAGCGCCTCCCGTTTAAACGTCTATCAGTCGTGTAAGATAGCAGCACGTAACAACAGCAATAACCGATTACTTACCAGCCAATGTCTTGTTACAGATGGGTCACCAGCCGATAACCAGCGATAGTGTGAGTACGCCGAATTTTGTTGCTATGCTGTATGTCAACGTGAAATTGGGAACTCCGTCAGTTTATAATATAACGCGTGAGATTGTAAACTAACAGTAGGTTATATTACGTTACATTGTAATCTAACTACGTCAGATTAAAATCTGACGGAATTCACCATTTTACGGTGACATTATACGTCTTTAACATGGTATCATAATAACTATAAGGACACGCCGATTTAATAAAATGGCGTTGGTAGTACAGTACTACTACCGTACCGTAGTACGTAGAATGCCATTGATAAGAAGTAGACTTTTCTAATCGCTCTTCTGCAGAAATCTGCAGAATTAGTTGACCAATTTATTATTATTCCATTACATTTATTGAAATTATTATTTGCACTGGTTCTCAGAACATTTCTGAGTACGTTACTCAGAAACTTCATTGGATCAATGGATGGCTTTTCCATTGCCTTTAATCCGGACTATTAAGGGTGGATTCGACCAAACAAGAGTAAATATTAAGCTCAGAATAAATCGTCAGTTATTCGACATTTTGACATATTTCCCATACGCTGAAACTATCATTGTGCTGGCACACTTCTATCCGAGAATAACTCCTGGTATAACCAGTTATAGAAGTTTGGTCGAATTGGGCCTAATTCACATATTTCTATACAAAAACTGTCAATGCCTATGTCAAATCTTAATTATGAGATAAATTACGTTTGACGATGGAAACATCGGCGTCTAAAGCTCAGTGTTAACCTCCCATAGTTTTCTTGCTACATCACTAATACAACCAGAAACCTAAGCTTGCCAGCCTATTTGCGGTGTTCCCATCGAAATCGAAAGTTGCCATAAATCACATCGCGCCCTGCGAAATGGTTAATTGTTTGGTTTTTGGGGTTCCGTATCTCAAAAGGAAATCACGGAACACTTATAGGATAATTTGGTTTTGGTTTGCCTGTCAAGACCTTTCTCAGGAACGCCCGAGGTATCAAGTTCAAATTAACAACAAATACGTATGTCTGCGGTTCCTTGAACATGTGCAAATCAAACTTCTAAATCAACACAATCTAATTTGAGCCTTATTTTTCTTACAAACACTTCGCAGGGGAATCAAAACCTATAGGGTACTTCCCATTAATCTAGAATCATGAAAGGCTGGGAGAAAGTTCTTACAGCACAAGTATAGGAAAAAAATATTTGGTTCATTGGTTTTTCGACAACAAAAACAATTATTGCAAATTATAAACGATTTTCTATTTTGTACGGAACCCTCAGTGCGCAAGTCCTCGCACTAGCCCAGTTTTTTGCCGTAATGTCAGACATTGGCCGTTGGTATAAATCAGCAGCTGCCATTGTTCGGTGCAGCGCTGCAGCCCGGTGCAGGATCGATATCGAATCGATCGATGATAAGCGCAGGAATTAGCGGGAATGGAGACGTGTTGTTTCTGACAGCCCATGTTTTGAAACGTTCAAAGAGAGCTATCGATTTGTTTTTTTTTATTTTTATTTTTTTATTCTTAACGAGGAAGCTTTTGGCCTGTATCTCACCTAATGGTAAGTGATGATCAGGCCGAAGGTGGAAGCGAACTTCACCAGGAATCCTCAACCACGGAGGAACTGGCTATCTTACCTCTAACTGTCGGAACACAACAATGCTGTTAACATTGTTATTTGATTATTACGAGAATAGACGCGTTCGTAGTAAGATTTACAGCCATATGTTATTGATATTGAAATCGATATTTGTGTGAGTTGCAGCATATGAATTTTAATGAAACATTATGTGATGTCAAAAGTCTGCTCAAGAATATTGTAGAGTATTAGAAAAAGGTTCTATATTTTTGCAATTTAGTGGGTATTTATTTATCGATTAGGGTATTCCTTCCCTAATCAATTTAGGTTCGGTAGGTACTTAATAAGTAAAATATGAGGGAAAAATAATCCACTATTATTGTTGTATTTGTTAGCATTGATTGAGATTACGCGTGTTTGTCTACGTAATTAGGACGTTAATTTGCGTTATTTGTATCTATCAGTAGCCTCATTTCTTTCACCTGAAATAACTAATCACAATTAGGGTTGCCATTCGTCCGAGTTTCCCAGGATTTGCGGAGACCATTCGGGTTGGGTTTTATATGTTGTCAGGGTTTAAAAATTTCAAGTCTTAAGGACTCTACACACCAAGCCCTGGTGGCCTGGTATCGGCGGCTTTATTTCAAAGGCTTTATGTCGACGATTTCTTCGACGACTCATGTCGGCAGGTCGGTGGATTTGGTGTGTAGACTGCATTAGGCCGATGCTGGGCGAAGCGACCAAGTCTAGACATCTAGAGTTCTAGCATCCTAGACTACATCTCACTTAACACCTGGTGCGATTGCGGTCAAATGCCTGCCTTGTCTAGCATAAAAAATAAAATAAAAAAAGTTTTCAAGAAAACTGACATGTCCGGGTTCTGGAGTTTGCACGCGTCCGGATTGCCAAATTTTAAAGATGGCAACCCTAATAACAATGGTGGCAGGGCAGTAATAGCGTGCTTCTTAAACAGCGGAATTAATCTTGGTTTTTGCGCGGCGCTAGGCCCTGCGACGTTCCGCGAACTTCACACACCATCGCTCCCTCTTTATGTGGGCGCGTTTCCAATGTTCTGCCATGTACTTATGTTTATCTTAAACAATAGACACTTTGACAATATTTGCAAAGATAGGTCAGATTCAGGACTTCTTTCAACGAAATATGTTTTCGGATCGGACCGGTTAGTTTCAGACACTTCTGTACCCAACTACTGGACACGAGTTAGTATTTTGAAGCGTAAAATGAATAGCCTCTAAAAGCAAATGCTTATACCCAATAATAGACAGATCTAAGAGTTTCAGATCTGTTGTCAATTTGTGAAGAGTTCACATTATGTGATTATTATGTCCATTGACTCCGCCAAGATGTTTTAAAATGTCTCACTAAAGAAATCTTTCCACAAACAATGTTCTATTTTTGTACCTAGCAAATAATAACAAGCTAACTAATGACGATGTTAAACGTAACAAAGGTCAGTGACATGTGACGTAAATTATTTTTTGTTCTTATTGAGGTGTACGCGGCTTTATTTCTTGTAAAATCTTATGATACTCGTAGTAACAAGGTTAAGAATATGTTGGTAATTCGCTTAAAATAGTTGGGGGCGACCATTTTGAGTTCCATCAACCTCATTTTACACCTTTGTTTACATAAAAATTAACATTCATTATTTTTTAAGTATGGTATTGCTCTGTCTGCAGGGATATATCTTGCATCACCTTCGAAATCTTACGCGAAAGAAATATCCAATATGGCCAAAGAAAAGTGTTTATAATTATTTCAATTTTTAGCGCAAACATAATCAATTTGTTTTATCTTTAGTAAACAAACAGGAAAATTTTCCTTGTGCTAATTACTGCATATTTATACAATGTGTGTGTATAACCTGCTTGTTAATGATTACTTTCACTCAGTTCCACGATTTGTGATTCATTTATTTTGTAATGTACAGTCGATAGCACATAAGACTATTCATTTTTTATTGCAAAATAACATCTATTGCGACTACTTAAGGTGCTACAGTGTTTACGTTGGTGTGCTGTGGTCTGTACACAACGTTATCAAATAATGGTGCGTTAACTTTGTCAACAAACCTTTATCTTGAGGGCTTCGACTTTCTTATCTAGAAAATAAGAATATTTGGTTCTTAATATCCATTTTATGAGTATTCTTTTCGTAGAAGTTGATTTTTAACCGACTTCATTAGAATCTAAAAATACTCGATAATATTAAAGTTTTTTCCGAAACTTGATGGTAAAGCTGTTCTAGCTTTTAGAAGGAACTTTATTTATCACATTTAAAATTTGTCATTAATTATTCTTCTTTTTTAAACATTATTTGACTTACTGTAAAGTTTCCCAAAGAATCAAGAAATCGTTCAACAATCAGAAATCAGATTAGCAACCACACAATAAATTCAATACACTAAATCTTATGTATGTAACCGATATAATTATTACGTTCGCAGAGCAAAAAATATAGAAAAATTGGCCAAGTTTCTCATAGGGGCTGATTATTACCCTAATAATGGTTAAATGCATTTCAAATAATTCCTGGTCATGTTTCCCCCAGTTATAAGTGGTTCTGTTCAGAGGCGGAGTTGTATGATGGATGTGATTAATTTAGGGTATTTCATCATTCATAATAAATAATGACTGAATTTTAGAAAACAAACTGATTAAGTACTTCATATGTAAATGTTTATAAAATATTTTCTCAAACGTTAAAGATTTTAAGGTAACGATTTGAAAAGATTGGAATCTCCTTTGTGTACCTTTGATGCCACTTTTGAAAGCCTTATTTCGCCCTTCAACCGAATTCGATAGAAATATTTATGCTCCTAATCGCCATCAATTATTGCAATTGCGCCCTACTTTGATAGCGATTCTGCCTAGTCGCGATCGGTTCCAACACCTAGCATTTCCCCCGCGTGAGAATGGAAACGTGGCCCGAGTGTGGGGTGAATAAATTCCATCGATCTCTACCAACGTACTTTTAACGGTCTATGTATTATTGCGGGGTTCTGCCAACATTCCAAGTTATTCGCGATTTTCTTGTTTACTCCACAACAAGTTTGGAAGTGCTCGATAAGTTGTGGTGTGGTTCAGATAATGTCGAGTGCTCGAGCACACTTGAATGTTGTGTAGTGTTTTGTTTAAATGTTACATAATTGCTTTGATTAAAGGAAATGATTTGTCAAAGAAAATTAAGATTACCTTAGAAGGAGTATGATTCTGTAGTTTATTTGCGGGAAATTAGGAATTATCTATAAACATTACCTAGTATTTACTAGCTATCTTAATTGACTCACGTCTTTTGACTGTATTTATGAATATCGACGTTTAAATCTAAATTCATTCTTAAGTAGGTGGTACTTTCTTTCTATACTTACCGTAGTTTGTGATCACATTAGAAAGCATATAAATTAACTAATAG